CGGGCCGCCGTGGGCGATCCAGACGGCGCCGGAGTCAGCGGCGGCGAAGGAGGAGGGGAGGCCCTCGGAGGCGGGGCGGATGGAGGCGGCGAGGGCGGCGTCGATGCCGAAGAACGGAGGAGGGGCGGTGGCGGCGCGGAGGTGGGCGTCGATGCCGTAGAAGAGGGCCTCCTCGGCGAGCTCCTGCTTGGAGAAGCGGCGCGCGGTGGAGGGGAGGTGGGAGGTGCGGAGGAGGGAGAGGAGGACGGAGAAGATCTCGGGGTCGCGGTCGATGAAGACGGGGCTGGGGTTGGCGGAGCGGCGGTTGGAGAGGGCGAAGAGGAGTGAGTCTGGGCCGCCGGAGCGGAGCGTTGTCAGCGTCGTCTCGAAGAGCTTTCCGCCGACGTTTAGCTTGACGCGCTCGCTCGGCGCGTTGGATTCCGCTGAAGTGCTCTCTTCTTCCATCACAAGGGGATCCCAACCAGGTGACACTTCTCTTCTTTTTTTTCAACGCTTTTTATTACTTACATTACAGTAGCAGCTTCTTTGTCTCTTTGTTTCTTGTTTTTGTCACTTGTCAATGCCGGAACGCAACTTGAACGTGTTAGGGATATACATTTAATCATGCACCACCACTCACTCTTTCATTCCTACGTAGACATCTTACTTTTACGATCATCAAAAAGGAGTTATCAATTTGGTTCTTAAATTTTATAAAAGAAAAACAAGTTTCTTAATCTACTTTTAATACTTTTTTTTTAAATTAGTTTTCAACATTTTTTTTTAGAGTATATTGGTTTAGGATTTTAAAATATTTTTTTAAGTAAAAAAAAGTTCGCTAGTATTTAATTAAGATTTTATGTCACTTAAAAACAATCTAGTGATATTTAATTTAGATTTTCAAGATTTTTTAAAGAGCTCATTAAAATATATTAATATTCATTTGAGACTTTTTACAACTTAAAAATAATCAATTGGTATTAAAAAATGTAAGGATTTTAAAAAATTGTTGTATTAGGGAGATTTTGAAAGATTTTTTAGTGATATCTATAAATATCAAATTCATAAAACAATCTCATCTAAACTCATCAGATTTTGGAAGATTGTTTAAAGTGACTTTTCAAGTGCTCTAAGAATTTTCAAAGAGTTTTTCATCTCTTATTTTTCTATACTCCTATCTTCACTAGTGTTCATATATAATACTATACTACTATTTCTATTTTATTCTCCTATTTGGTGAAATTCTAGTACGTAAATGACACTGTCATTGATTTGCTATATTTTTTTTCTCTATTCTCTTTAATTGAGTTGTTCTATTTAGTTGAATTTGTTCCTTAGATATATAACACATAAAACCTTTGAATTTCAACCTTTTAGTAGTAAATTTTTTTATAACACACATCAAGAAAAAGGAAAGGTGAAAGTTGAAATTGATATAATGACTTTTACAATCAACTCTAGCTTGGTTCATACATGATTAGTATAAGTGTGTGTATTGAATTATTTTTTTTAATTAATTTTTATCATGTATATGATCCATCATAATTAGTTATGAAATTCAGTAGTTATTTTAGAAAAATATATATATATATATATATATATATATATATAAGATGAATTTGAGTTAGGATTCTTGAATAGAATGAGATGAGAATGAGTCTTAGTTACAGGAAGAATCCTCTCAACACAAAATCAATAGCATTTCTTAATATACAAATCAACAACCTCGCGAATCATAATCCAAAATGGAAGACCAACAACATTAAGCAAAATTGATAAGGATAATGAAAATATAAAAAATCACTAATTCATAATCAAAACTACAAGCACACAAAATGATATCAATGTTTTCATATAAGTAAAGATAGATGTTCGACGAGCTATATAAGTGTATAAAACAAACAAATAAATAAAACACATAAACATACACATGCACAGAGGTTGGAGTATGGATGCTTAAGTGTATTTATATTCACTTGATGATCTTGTGGAAACATATTGGACAATCAAGTTAAACTATACTTAGCTTATTTTATAATGTGTTTAGGGAGATGGTTTAATAGAGAACGAAGAAAATAGGGAAGGATTATCAAGGAATTAAAAAAAATGTGTTTAGAGAAGATCATTTAAGTGAATTTGTAAGAAAATTGTGGTAGACCCATGTAGATTTAATTTCATTACTTTATCAATAGATTTGTGTGAAATTTTTAACAAAATAGATATTTGGATAAGACTACCTTACATTATTGTCTAAATAGTTAATTAGTAAAGGGTAAAAATGTAATTGTCTAAATAATATATTTTAAATAAAAATCTATCTATATAAAATATAATTTTAAAACAACTACAAATTTCATACATATTTCATATCAAATCAATTCTCACATATTCTCATCCATTCCCTTCAATTCTTCTCCCTCCCCTAAATAAAGCATTAGTGTCTCAACAATACTTTAACCAATTTTAATCTTTTCATTTTTCATGAAATTTATTTTTAGTCTTACAATAATATTATGATTGGTTTTAACCTGTCAATTATTTTTTGTTATTATTTTTAGTCTCTCCTATCAAGCATCATCGTTAAGTGATGATGTGATAACTGTTGTAAAAAATGAGTTTAAAAATTTGAAAGGAAAAAAAAGAGAGAAAGAAGGTGATGTATTAAGCAAAATCAACAACATTTCTTAATATACAAATCAACAACCTAGTGAATCATAATCCAAAATAGAAGATCAACCACATTAAGCAAAATTGATAAGGATAATGAAAATAAAAAATCATTGAATTCATAATCAAAACTACAAGCACACAAAATATCAATGTTTTCATATAAGTAAAGATAGACGTTGGATGAGTTGTATAAATGTATACAACAAACAAATAAATAAAACACACAAAGATACACACACGCATGGTGGTTGGAGTATAGATGCTTGAGTGTATTTATATTCACTTAATGATCTTCTGAAAACATATTAGACAATCAAGTTAAACTAGACTTAGCTTATTTCATATTTTACAAGACTTTTTATCATAAAGTTTTAATGTCTTTATTATCATCAAAATACTTAGTGGAGATTTAGACATTTATCTTTGATTAATATGCAATCGATCAAACACTACTTGAAAACGGCTATTCTGCTCAGAAATGAAATAGTCCAAATATTCTTAGAAATTATTGCTCCTATTTTGGTTCCAACAAAATGTATTGTTTGTTTATATGTATAACTAAGGTTGGATGCATAAATAGGTGATTTACAACAAAATGTACAAGGGTACTGGGACAATTACACCTAAAAGATTATTTTTATAATTTCTTTTTTGCCCTAATAGAAAAATAGGTGTTTCCTTAAGAATTTTTTTTAAATGAATGTAGAAAGTTATAAGAGATAAAAGATATAATAAATTGGTTTTAATTTTACCACTTGATGAAACTAGTGGAGGAGAGACTTGATGCTTCTCTTTAGCTAGCTCCATTGATACTTCAATCTTCATCCATAAATCCTTAAGCTTAAAAGCAAGCTCAAAAATGGTGGAGAGACAAGAGAGAATGGCACGCCTCTTCAAGGTGATAAGCAAGATAAGAAGTGATAAAAAAGAATGGCTCAATCCAACAAGGGGGTGAATTGGATTTAATGACACTTAAAAAATTTATCAGAGTTTAAGGACCTTAATTTCTTTAAAACTCTTCTAAAAATAATTTCCAATGAAGTATATTGAACCTCTTAGTATATGGGAATGACTCCTATATAATTTCTTGATTAATCTTTATTAAATTAGCTTAAAGAACAATTAATAACATATTAATCAAGACCATTTATTTTAACATTCAAATAAAGATTGTTTAATGTAAGAGATAAGGATGAGAGAAGAGTGCAAAGTATTTTATCCTGGTTCAGCCACTCAATATGTGACCTACATATCCAGTCCTCAATTATAACCTAATCAAGATTTGTTCCACTCTCAATGAAGAAGTTTTACAAGCATACCACACATGCACACACTTCAACATACAAGATATATCCTTTCTTGCACCTAAGAAAACACTTCTTGTAGAAATCCACTACAAGAATTCCTTACCAATTGAGAAACCTACTCAAAATTTTTACCACAATGCACAAAAAGATTAAAGGAACAAATTCACCTAGAAGCTGAACAAATCAGACTGTGAATTCTTGACCAATCTTAATTCCTCTATCCAAGAATGTAGTGATGATGATGATTCCTCTCAAAGCATTTCACAAATTTTTTTACTTCTTGGTATCACAAAAAAAACACTCCAAGAAGATCACAAAGATCAAAAGTTTATCACAAAGATTTCACAAAATCAATTATTCTCTTCTCTTTTTGTTTTTGAATGTGAGAACCATTTTTATAAAGTTTCCAGACCTAGATAATTGATTATTTTTAAGGATAATCGATTATTTTATTCTTCATAAATTCTGGAAATCACTCAAGAACAGAATAATCGATTATTTTGCAGGATAACTGATTATTCCAGAGAGCACTTTCTGGAATAATCGATTATTTCACAGATAATCGATTAATACAACAAGGTTTCTCAACCTCTTGAAAAACATAGTTGAAATAATTGATTATTGTAAGTAATAATTGATTATTTTGAGTTAGTTCTAAAAAATTCAATTTCACTCATTCAGAACCTTTCTAAGTTACTTTTAATCATCATCATACTCACTTTTAAACAATTAAAATTAAGATTTAACTCATGCACAAAGCACAAACATGCATAGAAAATAAAATTGACCAACAAAGCAACTCAACACATAAGAGCACATAAACTACTCTTATTACATTTGGTATTCATTCATGGTCTTCATGTCTTCTCTTTTGTTCTCATCAAAGCTTGTATCCTTTGTTATCATCAAAACTCTTAAAACTTGATTCATCATCCATGAATCTCAACAAGAAGAACTTGTCACAAGGAGGATTTCCTTAATAAAAGTTCATTAAGGAGTAGATTCTCCTAAGAGAGAATTGAGAGCTTGTGATAGAGAAATTTGAACTCAATTTCATTCAATACTCACAAGTGTTGAGTTTGTACATGGAGGGTTCAATTTATAGAGTTTGATACACTAGTGCAAAAATTGGATTTAAAATCGGACTTTTAAGATCGGTTACAAGGTAATCGATCTTAAAAGTGACGCGGTGGCAAACTTGTAAATAACATGAACACTTTTAAGATCGGTTAAAATTTAACCGATCTTAAAAGTACTTTTAAGATCGGTTATAAAAGAACTGATCTTTAACCGATCTTAAAAGTGGCACTTTTTAAGATCGGTTATAAAATAGCCGATCTTAAAAGTACTTTTAAGATCGGTTATTTTATGACCGATTTTAAAAGTGCTACTTTTAAAATTGGTTATTTTAGAACCGATTTTGTATGCAGTATACAAAATCGGTTCTTCAATAACTGATTTTAAAAGTATCGTCAGAAATCTTTTATATTCCCCTCTATTTTCATTCTCTTTAATCTTTTCCTCCATTCCTTTTTTTAATCTGTGACGCTGTCATTTTCTAAAGTCTCCAATAAGGTAAATTTCGTTGTCGTTTTTGTTTTCATTTTCGTATTCTCATGTTCTTGTTGTGTCTCTTTTCGTTTTCTCATGCTTTTCTCGTCTCTATTTTCGTTGTAGGCTGAGTTTTGGTAAATTTCGAACCTGGAACAGGCCGTTCTGCAAGGAGAACAGGCTGTTCTACGAGGAGAACGAACAGGCCGTTCTGCAAGGAGAACAGGCTGTTCTACGAGGAGAACGGGCCGTTCTCCAAGCAGAACGGGCCGTTCTCCAATCATAACGGGCCGTTCTCCAAGTAGAGCAGAACGGGCCGTTCTCCAAGCAAAGCAGAACGAGCCGTTCTCCAAGCAGAACGGGCCGTTCTCCAAGCAGAACGGGCCGTTCTCCCTTGAGAACGGGCTGTTTTACACGGAGAACGGCCCGTACTGAAATTTAATTTTATGACCTTTTGATTAGACTAGAACGACCCGTTCCAGTTTAATTTTTTTCCCAGCCAGACTTTTAAGATCGGTTATTAAACAACCGATCTTAAAAGTTAACTTTTAAAAGCAGTTGTTTAACCGATTTTAAAAGTCTAACTTTTAAAATCGGATCTTTCAAAATCGATTACAGAACCGATTTTAAAAGTTAAAAATAACCGATTTTAAAAGTATTTTTTCCACTAGTGATAGCTTGTGGTGTAAGTTAAGCTAACCATGGTTGCATGTAACCTAGGTTAGGTTAACTTGTATTCCAAATTGCTAACTCTAGTTATAGTTTAAAATTTTAATTTCTCTCCTAAAAAATGTCACTATCCTAAATCTAGAATAGCCAATAGAATCTTGCCACATGGAAAGTGCCAAGAAGCATGACTCATGTTAGCATCCTAGATCTATAAGAGTCAATGAGGACTTCCCATATGACAAGGTACAAAAAGTGTAACTAGGTGTGACACATGTGACCTGTTGGAGTTTGAATGACCATGTGAGCATCTAGTCTAGAAGTGGATGTCCATACTACATGGGCCACATGTTCATTTGATGCTTTCATGGACCACTCAAGCCCAATAAGCTCATGTCTCATTTTCTAGTTACACCCCTTGAGTACAATTTACACCCCTAAAGATAAAAATTACAAGGAAATAAATTTATACACTAATTGATCCAAATATACAAGGTCAAAATTAAGAAAATATTTACAAGGAAAAATATTTAAAAAGAAGCAAAAGTAAACTACTAAAAGTGACCCAAAACTTAAGAGCTTGAGGCTTCTTCCTTCAACAACTTGTTGAAAGTAATCATTAGTTTAGTAGTTGTAATGATTATGCTAGGTAATTAGAGTTAACTTAAGCTAACCTAGATTATTCTTAAATTAGGATTAGCTTAACTTGCTTCATAAGCTTCTAGACAATTAACTAGACTTCTAGAAATTTAACTAGAGCTGATTAGCTTAATTACAAGATAGCTAACCATGGTTATACTTGATCATGGTTAGTCTAGCTTGCACCACAAGCTAACTAAACTTTATATATTGTAGTTTTGACCCATTTTGTACAACTTTTGAGTATTATTGGAGTTTGAAGAGTTATTTTCTCTTTAGAATTCTCTCTCACAAAAGCTTAAATCTCTCTTTGATTTACTTCCAATTCTTTTATCCTCTTTCTAAGAGTGTGGTGAAATTTGAAGTAGTTTATTTTCTTCCTTGAAGTAACACCACTTAAAGAGAGTCATTCACCATTGAAGGTTTTAGAGGTTTCTTCCTCCATTAAGACCTTGAAGAAACTTGAGGAGTGTCAAAAAGGAAAAGATATCTAGAAAGAAATTTGAAGAAGAAGGTATAACCATCTAATTCCTCCTAAGGTTTCCATCAATAAGTTTCTAGGTTCATCACTTTGTACATAGAGATATTTTTTTTGTAGTATTGGTAATAAAACACACATTAACATTTTCAAAATATAAAAATGCAAACAACACAATTGTAAATTGTAGAAGTTTAGCTATTTTGGCTTTTTTTTTGTCATAATATATTTTGTAAAAGCTTATAATATTTTTCTTCTTTTAAAATATTATAAACTGTTTTCTAAACCCAATAAAAAAAATAGATTTTTCCATTGTATGAAACAATATTAAATGATGTGTATGTGTATGATATATATGCAAGATGTTAAATAAATATATTGAATTGTCATGGTATGTTATGAGTTGATGTAAATGGGGCCTAGCTTATGAGAGGTGGGATCCTTCATCTGGGATCATGAAAGAAAAATATACACAAAAGTAAGGTTGAATATGTGTGAAGATTTTCATAAGCATTTTTGATAGACACATATATATAAGATCAAAAACTATTTTGTCCATAAAGTAAATGCAAATGTAGAGAGTAAAGAAAACTTGTATTTTTATACTAGTTCACTTAACTTATGTTATGTTCAATTATCTTTGAACTCAAAGGGTCCCACTGCCACTTGTAACTCACAAGTATTTTAATTATCACTTTTTGCTTATACGTAAACAACTATTTACAATATTCTTTTACTATCCCCTTTAGGCTCAAGGTAAACTAAGGTAAAATGTTTACAAGGATTACTCTTAAAGAAAGGATATCTAAATTAGACACACTTAAGATATAACTTGTTAAGGGAAGGATAATTGGATATCTATTCATTCAATGGAAGATAAATTATAAGGTTTACAAGATCTTTGATTTAGTCAAAGATTTGGCACAACTTGGGCATGTAAAAGCTTTCTCTAGAGCTCTTCGAAACTTTTTGAACATATACAACTAATGTGCTATGGGAGACCTTCAAGAATTGTTCTAACTTTCTCATTAAATCATGGTTAATTTTACACTTTGAAACATTAATGTTTTGTGTCGCAAAGGTTTCACATCTCTTGGTAGGAAATTTTCTTTTTCTAGACACTACGAGAAGAGCTATTTTTCCTATATTACTCTACGTGCGTAGACCATATATAAAGGAAATAAAATATACAAGCATTTATAATCATAACAAACTATCAGAACACTTATTAATGTTATTTTTGAGTGTGTATAAACTTGTTTTAAGGCATGAAAAAGTTGAGACAACATTGGACTTACATAAGTTGTCGGGCAAGATGCATAAAGATTAATATTTACTAAATTATTTTACGTGTTTGATAAAATATATTTATTAAGATATAAACACAAGGTCTCTATAAATCTCTTGTTTGATACATATTTTCTGCAGTGACTTAACTCAAGTATTAGTCCATTAATGTCATTACTTTGTTATCATAAAAACTTGAGATATTTAACGTTTATAAATGTCTTTGGTTCGATCATCTCTCATTCTTTTTTGAGAATGACAAACTTATTATTTTGATAGGAGATATATAACTAAACATGCATTAAAACGTATATTTAGAACAAGATAAAATCAAGATATAAATTCTACTGAGACATACAAATATGAGTTAGACTCCCCATGAGTCAATGCATTTATGTAATTATGTATTATGATATTTTTATTTTATTTTTAAAAACAACCTAAACATCCTTTTGATGGTGATGCTCTAAATGTCACATTGAAACTCAAAGAGGCAAAAATTATTATTTTTTGTTTGATAAGGTAGTACATATAATTCCTTTTCATTTGTTAGATTTCTATAGGAATAATGGTACCTCTAATCGTGCCTTTATGTCTAAATCAGAGATCAAACCCTGATCTTTGATTAAGGAACATAAATATCAAACAATTTATACTAACAACTTTTAGTGTGAAAAAGAAAGAAGATGAAAAGGAAAGCAAATAGTAAGAAAGGATATAAATTTCAAACTTAGCATAACACTCCATGTAACATCAACAAGCCTTTATTTACCTACTTATGGGCAGGATACAAACAATATTACATACATTTTTTTTTATTAACTTTTAGCTTCCAAACTTGGCCAAAACACAAAGAGGATATTCTTCTTATGTTGGGCAATTCCTGGTAGCATAACACTCCATGTAACATCAACAAGCCCTTATTTACCTACTTATACTTATGGGCAGGATAATATTACATAAACTTTTATTTACTTTTAGCTTCGGAACTTGGCCAAAACACAAAGAGGATTCTTCTTATGTTGGGCAATTCCTGGCAACACTTCAGTATCGATGTCTTCTTTTTTCATTCCTTTTGGCAATTCCCAATCAAACAACCTAAGAAGATTTGCAAGAATAAGATCTAATGAGGCAATTGCCATAGTCATGCCAGGGCAAATTCTACGACCAGCACCAAATGGAATGAACTCAAAATCTTGCCCACGAAAATCTGTAGTATTATTTAAGAACCTCTCGGGTAAAAATTCTTCTGGGTCTTTCCAAGCCTTAGAGTCTCTATGGATAGCCCAGGCATTCACGTACACTAATGTCTTGGCTGGAATTTCATAGTCACCTATAGTACATGGTTCATTTGTTTCTCTTGGCACAAGTAGTGGTGCTGGTAGATGCAGTCTCAATGTCTCTTTTATCACCGCCTTGAAATAGGGAAACTTTTGAGTATCATCTTCATCTAGAAAATCTTTTTTACCTCCCAAATTCCTTATTTCCTCTTGAACTTTCTTCATCACTCTTGGATGTTTTAGTAGTAGAGTCATAGCCCAGATTGTTGTGGCAGCAGTGGTATCTGTTGCTGCTACAAGCATGTTCTGATGAAAGACATCGTTAGTTGTTAATTGTTCCAAAATGGATTTTCAACAAAGTGTTTCTGTACATAAACTTCTTTAAAATATTTATAGTAAAAAATATGAAAAAGATAAATATATTAAGTTTCTTCACAAGATAACACTAATTTATACAAAAACTAATTTGTAATATTTTTTAGAAATTATGAGACGGTTTCATAAGAAGAATTTATTATTTCATTTTTTTCTTCCTAAAAATGTTTATTGTGAAAAATTTTATCCAAACAAATTCAAATAAAATTTTTAAAAAAAATTGACAATTTAAAAAGCAAAGAGGAAAGGAACTCCGAACCATGAACACCGCTTTGATGTGATCATTTTCGAGATCTACAGAAAATGAACGCTGCTTCTTGAGTTGAAGTAAGACATCTATTAAATCCTCGTTCTCTGGAGGCTTCCTATTGGGATCCATGTGTTCATCAATGACTTCTTGGTAGAACGTATCCAACTCTTTGAAATTCCGCTCAAGACGAGCATGGAGTCCCGTGAGTTTATCAATCCAACCTAAGAAAGGAACAAAATCTGAGAAAAAGAAGATGCCCATCATTGCTTGACACTCGTTGAACAACTCATGGAACCTACTTTTTTCTGTTCCTTCATCTTCGTACCTGTAAGAAATAAGAAAATTAATACATAGAAGAAGGAAAATACTCTTCAGTCTTCACACTATAAGAGACTCACTTTAATTGTTTTGATTTTTTGGTTTGTTTTTTCAAATACACTAAATACAAGACATGGCTCTTGGAAAACATGAGTGCTTGAATCAAAAGACTACTAAATATGTTATGAATTAATATATTTTTTCGATACTAAGAAATATTCTCTATTGCACACATGAATTAATATTTTTTTTTGTAATTTATTCGATAGATACTTAATAGTTGAACATCTCCTCTCATTTTAAAGTTTCTGCCTATATATGTAAGAATTATGATTTGAATTCCAACTACTTGGTTAAGCAAAAAGAGAGTTTCTGGTTACTCACACAACCCAAATTGGTGAATATCAAAATATATGAACTAAATCAAGTTTCATTAAATACTCCATTAAACCTCCTTATTTAACAATACCACTACTACAATTTAATTCTTTAGTAATATTTTTTATTTATATTTATTAAAATGTTACTATATATTGAATAAATAGATTATTTTATAACATTTTTTTAAAAATATTACTATAAATAGAGTAATATTTTTTATTTTAATGTTACTCTTTTTAATTATTTTTAAAATCAGTCTTATATCGAGTAAAAAAAGTGTCACATAAGTTATTTTGTAACATTTTTTTGAAAAATGTTATTATAGATAAGTAATATTTTTTTTATTTTAATATTATTTTTTCTAATTGCTTTTAAAATCAAAGTCCTACATTGAATAAATAATATCACATAAAAAGTATATTTTTCTCATATCTAATTATTTTTCATAATTAAAGTCGCTCACATTGAGTTAATGAATAATCCATAAAGAATATATATATAACCATATAGTTATACTTAAGATAAATGAACTTAAATATTTGATATATATCTAGTGGTGACTAATTAAAAATATCTTCAACTTTCTCTTAAAAAATTTGTAGGAGTTTAGGAGACATAAAATATAACAATTGATAACAACATCTATATTAAAATTAATTATTATTTTATAAAGTTAATAAAAACTTAACATCATTAAAATGTTATAAAAATATCGATAAAAATGTTATTAAATTTTTTTAACAATATAAACTATATATAACATTTGATAATATATTAAAAAATTAAATTAGTATAAAATAAATTATTAAAATAATATTTTTTAAATATTGCTAAAACTTGTTAATGTTATAGGGTACCTTCTCCCAAAGGCTATTCTGCATATAATACTGCTGGTGAGGCACATGAGTGCTTCACTCAAATTTGTAGCCTTCGAAGAAGAGGCATGCATGGATATTTTCTTTATCAATTGCTTAACCTCAAAGTGTCTTACTGAGGAAAAGCTAGACACACGCATGGAGCTAAGGAGATGGACAACACAAATCTTTCTGATTTCTCTCCAATAACTATTGTATGGGGAGAACGCAATGTCAACCCCATCATAGGACAATTTCTGTTGGCCAAGTAACTTAGGTCTCCCACAAAACACGAGGTCATGGTCTTTCATTACCACTTTGGCAAGTTCAGGAGAGGAAACAACAATTGCTTGCCTTAAACCTAGTTGAAGGGAAAATAGAGGCCCATATTTTTTTGAGAGTTTCCATAGCTGAAGATAAAGATCTGAATTATTTAGCTGATGAAGATTCCCTATGATGGGAAAGCCTCTAGGACCAGGTGGACGGTGTCGATTCTTCAAGGTTTTAAGGTATTGGAAGAAGAACATGAACACAGGAAGAACAAGGCACACAATTAGAAGTGTTGACACCATTGTTGTGGCTTATAATATGTTGATCGTGAATTTTATGCGGGTTATATAGGGGTATAAGCATGTTAGGAGAACGTGTACTTATAAAAATCTAAGAGCACTAGCTAGGAATTGGGTATAAGGCTGGCCAATGGAGAAATATTTAATTCTGATACGGATACAAATAATAATATAAATAATTATATACAATTAACCTTTTTTTTGTGAAAAAAAACCCTTTATAATACACCAATGAAGTTAAACAATACAGTTAACCTTTTATAATTAAATAATACGATTGATATACATGTTACTTGATTGATGAGTAAATATAAATTAAAGCAACAACACAAAGCATCCACCAATTATATTCTTCATTTAATTTCATCTGTTTTGTCACATTAAGTAATTATTATGAAATAATAATTTCCTTGCGATTTCGTAAACTAGTCCATTTGAGAATATTTTAACATAAAATGAATAGTAATTAAGAATAACTTAGACAAACATTTTAATTTTGTTTAATATTTTAAAACTAATTTTATCAAAATTAAAATTTTACCTTAACTTCAAAATAGATGGGCTTTTAAATTATGTTCTGTTTGAAAGATTTTAAATTAATTATAAATAGCGACCCACCACAAGCTTGACTATGAATGTTCACACACTCATTGTTACTCTACTCATTCTCCTAGTGATTTAGGTATTGGAATATTTACGTGTGATTTTCATTGTCTATCCGCATTATTTGGACGTTATACCTTGCTAGTCATAAAGTTGATTACAAGTTCTCTTAGTGAATATATTTATAGAGTAAAATATCACTTTGATTTTTGACTTTGTAAGATGTTGTCAAAGTAATTCTTGAGTTAAGAAAAATGAAATGTTGACTTATTATTGATAGAACTTGACATGTATGAACCTTATGAAAATTGTAAGTATATAATGAGTTGTAATGGAAATTATGTCGTGATATTTCTTTGTGTGTTTTATATATAGATGTTTTCTTTTTTCATTGTACAATTTGTGGATGTTTTAAGTGAGGAAGATCCAGTTATGAGTGACATCTAGAATGCCGACAGTTGAGTTGTGGGTGTACTCTGATATTGTAACATTGTGGCAGAAGATTTTTAGGACATGAATTTTTAATATGTATTTTGAGTTATACTTATTTTTTTGAAAATAATTTGTAAACTCTCATGTTTTATTTTCCAAGTTTTATTTTTAATTATTTGGATATTGAAGAACATTTATGAGGTTTTACATGGATCCTTTTACCAATGTTAAAAAATTTATTTATTTACATTATTACAATATATGTGTTGGAGTAGTAAAAATATCGAATTTGGATCCTCTCATGCAATTTTCTCTCTCCAGCCTCTCTCCTGCAACATTAATAGTCATGTGATATATCTAATGGCTCAAATTTAATCTTATAATTAATATAACTTCTTAAATAATTAAATTTGAGCCATTAGATATATTTAATAGTTATTAATGTTGCAGGAGAGAAGCTGGAGAGAGAAAATTATAGGAGAAGATCCAAATTCAAAAATATCACATGGTGCACCTACAAATTAAAAGGAGACAAATTATTCATAAAAAAGACTGTTAATACATATATCTAATATTGGAAGAGAAAATATTACAGTTCTCTTTAATTATCATTTACATTCTTATTATTTTTTATCTATTTTCTCACTATTGTTTTATCACAAAAATTAAAAGAAAATATTGTCATTTAAGCTCCTCCTGAATTAGTCATGTCTTTATCTAAAATGACAAGCAAATTACTAAATAACATTTCAACTAATGAATTAATTAACAAAATTAACGTCACACTGACAACAAAAATTACTTATTAAATGATGAAAATAAAAGTTAAAAATTAATATATATATATATATATATATATATATTTAATTTAAGAACTAGTTTGACAACTTCTTACAAAGTCACGAAGAAAGGGGATGTTTCACTTTTTTTCACATGGAAACAAATAAGAAGGCAAAAAATCAGTACTTCCGTGAGAAGATCGTCAGAAGTTCAGCAAAATAGTATTTGCCAGGCTATGTGATGATCATCCCAAGTTCCGTAAGCAACACAGATACTTCACCAAGCATCTTAAGGGTCTTTTCAATCATGTTAATTAATAATATAGTTTCCTCAATAATATATATATATATTTTAAATTATTCATCAATTTCATGTAAGATTTTGTTTCGATAGATATTTAATGTAAAATTTTAAATATGAATAAAAATTAGAGATGTGATAAATATATATTTTTTTTATGAAGAATTTTGATTTTAAAAATAATTATAATAATAGTATTATTGTGGTTATTGAAGAACGATTTTTGAAGTTTCTCATGTGAACCCTTTTACCGAGATTTAAAACATTTATTTGTAAAGTTACAATATGTGTTGGGGTAGTAAGGGTGTCACACATGGCACGAAGCTGAGCATATGATGCGACAGTAGTGACGTGAGCATGTCATAGTGCAGGATGTGTGAAAATTAACATAGATGTATGTATGACACGATGTTGGGCGTGTGATGTGACAATGGTGGCGTGAACAATATGACATGGTGCTAGTTGTGTGATGTGGTGGCTATGGATGACATAGTGATAGTTGTATGATGTGTGTGACAATTAGTACATATGTCAGCATGGCACGGTGTTGATCGAGTAATGCAAAAGTGGTGGTGTAAGTATGACATAGTGCTGATTGTGTGATGGTGATGTATATGTATGATTGAGATTTGATGATGAAATATTGACTTATTATTGATAGAACTTGACATGTATGAACCTTATGAAAATTGTAATTATATAATGAGTTGTAATGGAAATCATGTCGTGACATTTCTTAGTATGCTTTATATATAGATGTTTTCTTTTCTTACTGTACAATTTGTGAATGTTTTAGTTGAGGAAGATCCGATTATGAGTGACATCCAGAATGCCGACAGTTGAGTTGTGAGTGTACTCTGATATTGTAATATTGGACAGAGAATTTCTAGGACATGGATTTTTAATATGTATTTGGAGTTATACTTATTTTTTTGAAAATAATTTATAAACTCTCATATTTTATTTTCCAAGTTTTATTTTTAATTTTTTGGATATTTAAGAACATTTATGAGGTTTTATATGGATCCTTTTAGCAATGTTGAAAAATTTATTTATTTATTTATTTACATTATTACAATATAAGTGTTGGGTAGTAAAAGTGTAACATGGTGCACCTACGAATTAAAAGGAGACAAGTTGTTCATAAAAAAGACTGTTAATACATATATCTAATATTGAAAGAGAAAATGTTACGGTTCTCTTTAATTATCATTTATATCCTTATTATTTTTATCTATTTTTTCACTATTATTTTATCACAAAAATTAAAAGAAAATTTTGTCATTTAAGTTCCTCTTGAATTAATCATGTCTTTATTTAAAATGAAAAGCCAAATTACTAAATAACATTTCAACTAATGATTTAATTAACAAAATTAGCGTTATATTGACAACAAAAATTACTTAAATGATGAAAATAAAAGTTAAAAATTAATATATATATATATAT